CTCTGTTGCCTGAGAATACAAGAGCTGTCAGGCGAGGTCTGCAAAAACCTAGAAATGGGTGATGAGGATGGGATCTGCAGTTACATCTTGAAAATGGGGAATGGCTTTTTGTGTTTTAAATGATCATGCACTGTGAATACTAAAGGAATCCCTGGAGTTCAGAGGAAAATTGCAGCTTGACAAAAAAACTTGTGGAGCCTACTTGTATTACAATAGCACATACTAAGTTCAGGACCCCACTGCGCTAGGTGCTGTACATACTCAGAGAGAATCACAGTCCCACTCCCCAAAAGCTTATAATCTAAACAGGAAAGGCAGGGAGAATTTCCCCCATGTTACAGATGGGGAACTAAGGCCAGAGAGACTGACTTACCCAAAGTCACATAGGGAGTCTGACAGTGCTGGGAATTGAAGCAAGATCTCCTCAGTCCCAGCCCTTTTCCTTACCCCCAAGGCCAACCTTCTCCACTACTTTGCACCTTGTATTGTCATTTAAACTTGTCCAAAGTGAGCGTAAACCATACCCAGTCACAATTCTCCACTTATTTACAGCACTGGTAGCGTTTCACACCAGCTGTAAATGACAAAGGCAGAGAAAAGCTGGGTCCTGTCTAAACCTAAAAAGAACAGGAGTACTTGTGGCACCTTAGAGACTAACAAATTTGTTAGTCTCTAAGGTGCCACAAGTACTCCTGTTCTTTTTGCGGATACAGGCTAACACGGCTGCTACTCTGAAACCTGTCTAAACCTAGTTAAGAGTCAAAGGGGGAAGTGCTCACTGTCACGGTCCAGTGCTTGTGTTTTAGAAAATACAGCTCAGTGCTTTAACAAAAGAGAGAAACGCTCTGCAGGGGGCTGGGTGGAACGTCTGACTTGGTTTTTAAAGGGGGGTGGGGTTATTTAACATTGCCATTTGCTCTCTATCTCTTGCACCCATGCAAACTCAGAGGTTCTTCCACACAAAGCGAGCTGTGATCACTGCTCCTGGCTAAGAATGGTACACATCCTACTACGTTTGTTACCATCTCACCCACCTGTTATATCTGGTCTTTAGCCTGCAAGCTCTTAAGGCCAGGGACTAGCATTTTCTGTTTGTACAACACTCAGCACAGTCAGGCCTGGCTTGTTTGAGGTTTCTAGGTGCTACTGCAATATATATAAATATATATATTTAAAATAATAATGAACTTCCTTGTTCTTGTTGAGACCTCAGCACTGTTCGCTGGTGCAGAGACAGCAGAACAGTGAGTTGACCAATGACTCTTATTGTTCAGATGAGATCCTGGTTGCAGCACAGGGGCCGAATTCAGCCCTGGGCTAGGCTGTCTTCAGGAAAAGGTAGGAGACACTGATTGGAGAGGAATCAAGAGAGCCAGGAAACATGCTGATTCAATTGATCTCCTCTGCAGCCTCTGCCATTGGGTGAAGGATCTGTGAAGCAGACCATAACTTAAAGCTGCTCTCTGGCAGCAGGCCACTGAAGGGAGGAAGAAGCAGGGCAGCCCTTCCCCCAGGGGTGGGAGGAGCTGATACAACACACAAGGTAGGGACCATTAATGCCAACATTTATTTAGTCTGTAAATTCTTTGGGGCAGGGATTATCTAGGTAGTGTGGCATAGTTGCTAAAGCACTGAACTGGGACTCAAGAGACCTGGGGTCCATTCCGAACTCTGCCAATAGCCTGTTGAGTGACCCTGGGCAAGTCACCTCACCCCTCTCTGCCTCAGTTTCCCCATGGGTAAAGCGGTTTGAGAATGGATGCTAAAAGCTATTATTATTTTTAGTTGTCTTTACAGAATCTAGCACCATTTGCAATGCAGCAAAAAATAAATACACCCCAGAAAAATCCTTTAGCTGAGAAAATGATTATAAAATGAGCAGATGAGGCAAATGCTTTTAAAGTGGCTTTTCCATTTCCTTATTTGCCATAGGCTTGGGAGCAGTGGCTGGGTTCTTCAACATATTGGGAATAACTACTAGGAACACCAGGTAGAAAGCACGCTGGACATATTGTCTGGATCCTGGTGGGTGTTGCCTATGGTGCTGAGTGCAGATTTCAGCGACAGGCAGGGGAGTTCCCCCTCTCTCACTTCTCTCCATAAAAGGGAACAATGAAAGGAGCAGTGCACATGGCAGGTAACCACAGACCCAGGGTGAAAATCAACATGTCAAGTAACAAATGAGAAATTCCCTCCCACCATCCACAGAAAGGGGACAAGTAGCAGGCAGAAACCCAGGGGTGGCTTGGACAGTTTCTGCGGTGATCTAAAAGCATGAGAAAGAAATGGGGAAGTCAAGGAAATATATGCTCTGTTGCCCTCCAGTGGCTACTTGGTTGAAATGCAAAAGAACTCTTCTGCAGAGCTGATACAAACTTCAACATCACAGTGTAGCTGAGACCCTAAAGGGGGTTGGGGTGGGCAGTGCTGTAGGGGCAAGCGTGATCGTGTTTCATGCATGAGAAGAAAACTTGGCCCAACAGAGCTTTTACATGGATGGATGGATTGCTGTAACATCAAGGAAATGCAAACACCTGTGCCGACACAATGCACAGAAATAACACTTTGCGCTGACAGAGCATCTTTCAACATGGGGCACACAGCGAGGCAGTGGGCATCAGGAACAGAACCCAGGAGTCCCGCCTACCGGGCTCTGATCTAATCACTGCCACTCAGGTTGCAGGGTTTTCCACTGGAGAAGTCTTTCATGCAGCGTACCCATGAGGACTCCATTACAACTCTTGGTGCTGTAGAAGCTTCTGATTCACTAAGCACTGATAGACCAAGATTATCACATGCCCAAGGCAGGGAGAACAGTTTCAAAGCTAGGCAGATTAAATACTGGTGCTGCTGGTTATCTTTGTTACTGGAAACTTTAAGAGGAATCATAAAAATGAAGTTGATGGCTCAAGGGATTAGTAATAGAATATGAGCATTGGTTCAAATTTGACCTAGGTAAGTAGCAAGCAACAACCCTAAACCTGTTATCTGCTTGGTGATCGCCGTGAATGAGTCAGTGTTTTCATTCCCAGTGGATACTGCCCACATCACAACTACCTTGCAGGCAGTCTCCAGAGAAGTGCTGGGTATTGGATATCCATGGAGACAGTGCTTGTGCTTTCATTCCTGCAAGCAGACCCTCCACATCAATGCACAGTGGAGGGGGAGCTTGCACTGCCATCCCCTGTGCTGTAGGCAAAAGAGGCTTGTAGGGCTAGGAAACCAGCAGTCTTTTTTTTTTTTTTTTAAAAGCACAGAGCATAGTCCCTGTCTGCAGCAGTCAACATAAGATGGATATCATGAAATTGCAGCAGGGAAGAGGAGATTCCTTACATTCGCTGACACAGGTTTAAAGGGTAAAAAAATCAATGGGTAGAACTATCCCCAGGGCTCTAGCTGTAAAGGAGAATATTTACACCCAATACGCTGCACAGAAACAGATAATCCTTGGGAAAATCTTAGACATTGTCCCTCCCAAAGCTTCAGTCAGCATCCCCACAGATTACTTGCCAGCAATGGGAGGCAGAGCTGCCTTATTCGTGAGTTAGATGATTCCCTTGTTGCTCCGATCTCTGTTCTGCAAGCCCCACCACCATTGTGAATGCAAACTGGCCAGCGAGAGCAGCATGTTATTTGTGATGCTAAATGCTGCAAGGAGCAGTGTTGGAATTATACCCCAGGTGATCATGAAGGAGCACCTGCCTCTCCTCACCCTAGTTCATGGCATAATGGGAAGTCCTGTTGGGGCTGCAGCCTCCCTCATTCTGGTGGCAGCACAGGGGAGCTTGAAGCCGGGCAGCTTGCATGTAGTTAACATGAATATCCCCTTTACATGGGCTACTAGCCACTATGGATGAAAACTCTGGACACCTGTCTGCTTGAGTTCTGCCACATTTCAGTTGTTCTGTGGTGCAGTTACAGGTCTGATCCTGAGAGGGTGTGTTGAATCCACAATTTGTCTTCCACTGAGTCAATGAGAGTAGCAGGTACTCTGCACTTAGCCAAATTAGGGCAAAAATTGACAGGCAAGAACCTTGCCTACTGAATACTTCATGTCTATGGCCCCTTTCACTGAAGGGAATCACAGCACTTTACTAGCATTAATGATGCCTTCTAATAACCCTGTGGGGTAGGCTTAATTCCATTTACTGTTTCTCAGATGGGGATACAAACATAGGCTAGGAGGGAGGGATAGCTCAGTGGTCTGAGCATTGGCCTGCTAAACCCAGGGTTGTGAGTTCAATCCTTGAGGGGGCCATTTAGGGATCTGGGGCAAAAATCTGTCTGGGGATTGGTCCTGGTTTGAGCAGGGGGTTGGACTAGATGACCTCCTGAGGTGCCTTCCAACCCTGATACTCTATCATCTGTTCTCTTCATAAAACCCCATGGAGTGGAGAAATCAGAGGTGAAATAATTTGTCCTATTTTGATATCAATAGGAAATAGATAGGAATACTGATTCTTAGAACTACATTCATCATATACATTAAAAGATTAAAAACTCATGCTTTTCCCCTCCCTACATGACTACAAACATCCTAAAGAAATTGCACAAATAAGATCAAAATGTTAGATGTGACCTTCAATGAGGGGAAAAAAAACATGAAGCAAAAGCACAGACATGAAATTAGGCCTGAGAAATACATGACAAATCAAAGCAGTCATGTAAAGTGTAAATATAAAAGAAAAAAGAGAACACTAACTTCTGCTATTGTTACCAGCTAACCACTCAGCGCAGTTACAATCTGCTCTATTAACAAACAAGTAGCCAGAATTTGCTGATGAGCGAATGCAATAGGCAGATGTTAACTGAGGATATTGAATTAAGCACCGTTTTGAGATCTGCAGAGGGATGTTAGTGGTGCAAAGGCCTTGTGCTGATCCTCTGCCCAGGTCTGAATTTCACACTATTGTAAATATTTGATTCTGAGGGCGAGATATTTGGAATGTATTGGTTCCAAGAAGCTAAACATACACCGAGACACTTTTAATGAGCTTTTTTTAATAACCTGAATCATGTCCTGAAGTCCCAATTCAGTTAAATCATAAAAATGATATGAAATCAAGCTTCAGTTTAATTAGAATGAAAGGTTATACATAGGATCAATATTGCAGACAGTGAGATAAAATACACCACCTGCTGAATGCAACTAACTCGGAAAAAAACACAGTATGGTATTGTTTTAACAGGTTTGGCTTGAAAGGGTAATAGAGGGTCAAATCATCTGAACACTTTCTCAAAGCTTTGATTGTTTATATGTTCTCCAAGGAGCCCTTGGTACCATAGTCTCGGGATCAGATGTTTGCTAACAGGAGGTATTAGCGCCCTGTTCACTTACAGAGATGCCACCCATTACAATTTCCATGCCACCCTCTATCTACTTCCATAAATCACTGCTTATGTTGAAATAGCTCAGGAGACGACACACTTAGGATGCTCACCAAAAAACCCCAAATAGTTTTAAAACATCAGCAGAAAATAGAGACCCAGAAGATACTGTCACATGTCACACAATGTCACATGACCATTTGGGACCCAGAAATCCGTATAAATTTAAGGAAAAAAGACTGCATGCTATATCTTTAATATCTTGCAATAATTCTAACAATTTAAATCTGTCTACATAGACAAAGTCCAGCAAAGCAACTAAAGTATTTTAAACAAGCGGTTTTTATTTCACGTTCATCTGAAATTCTCTCTCACCACCATCACACACACACACACACACACACACACACAGAGTGCGGACCTAGCGGCCCAATACACAGTATGGAACTTGACCAGTTAATAGGGGTGAATTTCACACCATGCACCACTTTAAGTCCACAATGCAGGGCCTAGGTATTATTTAAGACTAACACAAGACAAGTGGGATTCAAATGCTGCATAGAACTTAGAGCAAAGGGCCTACCCAAGAGAGAATTTCACCTTAGGAGCATACAGACCAGTCCAGTCTGTGATTATCTATCAAGGATTTCAGAACACAGACAGTATTTTACCACTCTTATATGTAAAACTTATCTGAATTGGCTTCATTACAACCAGATAACACACACTCACACATCATTGCAACCACTTCTACACACAACAAAAGTTCACGGCAGAGATTAAAAATAAATATGTTAAAAGCAGGTGGTTCCATGGGAATTCTTACATCATGCTCCCAATGAGCCCAAACAATTAGCAATCAAATCACAATGTTTAATATCCAGCTAATTAATTTGTGCCATTTGTTCTACTTGAGGTTTTTGTGCTTCTTTCTTTTTTTCTTCCTGCAATGCCCTCTTGAAAGATTAGACAAAGGAACATACAAAATGAGGATATTTATCATGGCTGGAATGAGAGACCTGGATTCCATGATTTGTAATGTTTAAATAAAATCTCCCTGCCTTGAGGCCTTTTAGCAAGTAAGTGGGCGGCAGGTGAATTAATGGTTAAATAGCATTAACAGACAACAGCTCATAGACTTTGGAAGAAGAGATCAAGGATGACACGGAAGGCACAGAATGGAGCAGACTTATGGATTTGTATTGGGGTGCCAGTTGTAAGACCAGCAGAACAGGCTGAAGTGACACAGAGGAAGAAAGGCACTGCCTAAAACTTGAAGGCAATGTTTGCAGATAAACAAAAATGTAGAAGAGGAGGAGGCTAAGACTATGTAAAAAGTGAAAGGAGCAGCAGTCACGAGGTGCCCCTAGAACTATAGAAATTGAGAGACTTTTCCTTACTGTGAACTGTCCCAGTGACAGAGTTTTGCAAGTTTCTGGCAGTTCCTGTGGCACATGTATGGTCCCAGTCCCAGCAGCTACATGACCATATATTAGTTACCCCCTAAAACAATATTCTGTTGGGATGAGATCTCTGAGTTGCCTTTTAGAGCAGGAGAAACATTTATTTCCACAAGTCATGTCAGCCACATGTACAAACTATTGAGCTGCATCTCTTTGTACTGAGTTCACATCAGGGATGATTCTTATTATACTAGAATTGGTCTGATTTCCTGTAGAGTCTCTACAGATTAATCACAGGAACCATCTTTCCAACCATCTCGCCAGCGTTCATCCACCCGGGAGCAGTCGAATTCAGACTTCCCCAACTTCCTGTTGATGTCATTATGAAGCAGGCATAGCCACTGGGATAAATTATTCCTGCTTCTGGCATCAGGCTGACTTGTGCGTAATCTGCAGAGGGAAGAGGAATCAAACGCTGTTTACTACTTTATAGGCACTGATTTCACTCTCCAAAGCAGGTGTGTGGCCCACAGATGGTCAGAGCCTCCCTCATCCTCTATTTTGAGATGTCTCACAGAGACCATAAAGGCCAGCATACCGAGATCTGTATTCATTGCAGGCTGCACCTCCACATTAACGGCTGCAATTGGCTTGGATGCATGTGAGTTAGGTGCACTCCTGAAGCTCCTTATCAGTCACATCCTTGGTTGGGAAAAAATTAGATGCCAATCAAAACAGTTTATCCATGGCAAAAGTATTCAGGCTCATAAATAATTTGATTTGAGAGAATCTCTTGGCAAATTAAGTAAATAATAATGAGCATCTTTTCTATATTGGGCTCCATCAAGGTGTTTTAGTCACTAACGAGCTCTCAAATACAAAACTATCTTTTTTTGCACTAGATAATTCCATTTGTGGGTAATGAATTGGCGTGGGTGTACAGAAGATGAAGCTCCGCCCCCTAGCAAACAGACTATATATCAGCCCTCCTCATGTATTGTATTCAGCCATTCCTTCTACTGCCTGAGCTAGTGTAAGCTGATTCTTTCAGTGTTTTTGGAAGCTCAAAATCATTGATTCTATTTCCCCAATGTGACACAGGCTGGCTAGCAACCACAGAATCTGCATTATGCAGCTGCTAATGGTGATAAAGTGGTACCCCTCCACAGCAGTAAAAACATCATTACTGGAGTAGCTTTTTAAGATCTGTTTGCTCCGGTAAAAGACAAGAGGATTTCTCATCTCCATGTAACAATATGAAGCTCTGTACTGAATCTTTAGTCACCTTTTGAAAGAAGCACGCAAACATTTCTATAAACTTCTTCATGCAGTTCACTTTTCCTGCTAGGTTAGGATATTGATTTGATACCAGAGATTCTTAGCTTTGTGTGACGCTGTATGGAATATGTGGAACACTTTATAATATTGTTAATAGCAATATTATAAAATTGCAAGGAATCTGACCAGATATGACACGTGGTATCTGTTAAAATGTTATGATTGGCCAAGTAAGTTAATCTTGTTTGTATGTTTGTATCATCTTTTTATTGTGAGTTATAGATATGTATGGTATATCCATATTTCAAAACTTGTGCTGTGTTTCTGGGTGACACCCCCAGACAGATTGGCATCAGCACTGCCTAGCCTGTCATCGGTGGTACAATGAAGCCATGGAAAGGAGCCTGGGGATACACCTTGTGAGTCAGCAAGACATGTAAGGGCATGCCTGTGGACAGACAACTCCAAGGCTTTTCCATGCCATGTGCTGTGAAGCTTGTGTTTGGGACAAAGGAAGTACAAGCCACATGGCAAAAGAATATAAAGAGTAGCTGCATCTTCTCCATTTTGTCTTCGTTCCTGCTTCTTACCTCTGGAGTAACTTTTCTACAAACGAAGCTCTGAACAAAGGACTGAATGACCCATCCAAGCTGTGGATGTGTTCCAAAGGGACTTTCAAGCCAGTGAACTCACCAACACTGCTAAGAACCTGATAGATGGACTTTGTAGTCTCATGTATGTACCTAATTGCTTTACCATTTAACAACTCTCTTCTTGTTCTTTTTTCTTTATAATAAACCTTTAGTTTTAGACACTAAAGGATTGGCTGGCAGTGTGGTATTTTGAGTAAGATCCAACCTAATATTGACCTGGCAACGTGGCTGCCCTTTGGGGTTCAGAAGAACATTTTGTATAGTGAGCAGAGTTTGGGTAGTGAGCTGGGAATGAGTGACAGGGGATGGATCACTTGATGATTCCCTGTTCTGTCAACTCCCTCTGGGGCACCTGGCATTGGCCACTGTTGGAAGACAGGACACTGGGCTAGATGGACCTTTGGTCTGACCCAGTGTGGCCATTCTTATGAACCAGCAAACAAATAAAACTCCTTTCACTAGTTCTTGGAGCTACTGTGCTGTCTGACAGCAGTAGAGTGTTTGTCCTCTGAATGTATATGTCCTGTGTCTTTGTTTATGATTTATTCAATCATAAAACTACATTTTTGCAACACAAAATACAATACAGAATAGGCATAAAGATACCAACTACTGGAAAAGTTGATCTGCAAACCAGACCATTAGAGTCCAACACTTTAGGTTGATCTCTTTACCTGTAGATATATTTTTAAAAGACTCACCTTTCCCTCAGATCTTCTGCACATTCATCACAAGGGAAAAACTTGGAAAATAAGTTAATGAACTGTGTCATATCTTGCTGCTGGGAATTGCTTGGGTGATCTGGGTAATATGCTGCCATAGTGTGAAGGAAAGACCATGTGCTTCTCCCAAGTTCTTCTCTGTCTAGAGGACAATCTGGAGGCTTCTCCTTCTCCTCTTCAACATATGCTTCCTGGGTCAGAAAAATAAGAGGGTTATGTGTGCACATTAGTACTCGGGATAAAAAATGAACATACCTTACACTAACCCCATATGCTTTGTGTTTCTAGCGCACCTTCAATTCAAGGCCCACACAGATATTAGCTAATTAAACCTCCTTTTAAATGAGGTGGACAAATATGATTACTCCCCTTTTTGTTGATAGGGGCACAGGAAGGTTAAGTAACTTGCCTATAGTCTCATACTCCTTCTGTCCATCAACCATGGCCTGTGAAGGGGAGGTTCTAGGTGGGGGGGTGTCTCATTCCTACCCCCTGTCAACCATAGCCTGTGAAGGAGAGTTCGGGGGTGGGGTGTCTCATTTGGACTCCCCCGTTAACCACTGCCTGTGAAGGACTGTGCTGGGGGGCGGCGTGGGGAGAGGTTTTCATTCGTACTCCCCCATTAACCATTGCCGGTGAAGACAAGTTTTTTTTGGGGGGGGTCTCATTCATATCCCCCCATCAACTATTGCCTGTGAAAGGGAGTCTCATTCCTATCCTCATCAACCATAGCCTGTGAAGGGCTGTGCTGGCGGGGTGGGGGTTCTCATTCATACTATCCTGTAAGGGGAGTCTTGGGGAAGTGTGTGTCTCACTCATATGCCCCCCTCCATCACTGAGTGAGGGGGGAAGGGGGCTCACTCGTACTCCCCTGCCAACCATTGTCTGTAGGGAGAGGGGTCATTCCCAGGGGGTGGGGAACTCGTGAAGGGAACCATCCTCCCCCTCGCGGCGGGAGGGGCATGGGGCTCGCTGGGGCTCATCTCTCCTCCCAGCCCCTCCCGCGCTGCTCCCCGGCCGCCCCCTCACCCCGCTCTGCGAGGCCGTCTGCTTCCGTTGCTCCCGGATCCAGCTCCTGAAATCCGTGCAGGCCCGGCACGGCTTCTTCCTGGGCTGCTGCTCCGCCCCGGCGCCGGGCGGCCCGGGCAGGGGGAAAGGGAAAGGGCCGGGGCCGGCAGCCGGGCCAGAAGCCGGGTTTCCTCTACGCTCACTGGGCGCCGCCATCTTGGAACCGCAATGCATGTTGGGCCGGGTGGCATTCTTCACCCCCCGCCTTGGGCAGGGGAGGCGGCCTGGCAGGCGGGAGAGATGTCTCTGAGTGAGGGATGGGAGGAGGAGGGAGCAAAGATGAAAGGGAGGAAGAGGTGAAGGAAACAGAAAAGAAAAAATTCTCTTGGGGGTTTCCCTCTTCCGCTGACCTTGGCCTACCCTAGAGCAGCAGCTACAGAGAGTGAAACTGAAATAGGATAGTATCAGAGGGGTAGCCGTGTTAGTCTGGATCTGTAAAAAGCAACAAAGAGTCCTCTGGCACCTTATAGACTAACAGACGTATTGGAGCATAAGCTTTCGTGGGTGAATACCCACTTCATCAAATAGGATAAAAGAATCCGCAGGAGCCTACGCAGATTTGTCGGTAGTTAGAACCTGAGCAGTATAGACTGACTTTGAATAACATCCTTGCATCCATTTCTTGCCATAGGTGAAAAACATAAAAATATTCTCATTTACAAAATGCGGGTTATCCAAGTTTTAGACAGGGCTACCCAAAATGGCTGAAGTTTGAAATTTGGTTTGGATGTGATGCTCACTGAGGCTTTGTGCCTTTGCTTGGTTTAGAAAATAAAACTGTTTTGAGCATGTACAATACAGCATAACCATGTAAATCCATGTTTGTAGTTAGCAGGGAGAGACCCATGTTTAAGTTTTTAAACAAAAATGTTACAGTCCCCCATGTTCTCAAAAACTTAATTGAGGCTAAAGGTGATTTCATTATTCCAGTGCCCATTAATTGGTCTGAGATGCTGGGATCTCTGAGTAAAGGAAACAAAAAGATGGAAAACACAACTTAAGGTCATGCTCCTGTGAACATTTATTAACATATTGACATCAGTGGACTTATGGAATATTTAAAGGCTTGATCTGATAAAACTTGTCACAATTTCTGACATGACTTGTGACCGTGTTCCCATGACAGGCCTAAAGTCCTAGTCTTAGCAGCTACATAATCACTTACAATTGGGTTCTTTCCCTGAGAATTCAGTTGGAGAATGAGCTCTCTGAGTTGCAGGTGAAAATAGGAAGCTTCTTGAGAAAATAAAGACATTTCAGACACATGTACACATATGTTTACTTGTATTGTTTTTAATTATATTGCACCAGGTTCAGTTCTTATTGTATTTAAATCATCATAACATCAGTCTTATTTCCAATGGAATCTCCATAAACTAGACACAAGAACCATCTTTCCAGCCCTCTCGCCAGCGTTCATCCATCTGGGAGCAGTCAAACTCGGGTTTGCCCAACATCTTGTTCACATCGTTATGAAGCAGGCACATCCACTGGGATAGCTTCTTCCTGTTGCTGGTGTCTGGCTTTTTCATGCTTAAACTGCAGAGGTGGAAAAGAATCAAAACACTAATTACTCCAGTCCAGAGTCACTGATTTCACTTGCCAAACAAGGAGTCGCTAAAGTGCTTGCAGAGTTTATAGAGGTGGCCAGAGGCCACCCCCATCTTCAATACAGAAATTGTTCTTACAGAAAATATAGGTCCCATGCTCCATCTTGATCTGAGCCACCTCAACTCATCAAGGTGAAACACACCATGCAGATTCTTGTATCCTCTATAGTTCATATCTTAATAACTGATAACTCTCATTAATGATGAGGCGTCTGCAGTCTGTTCCGTTTTATAGCCCTTCAGGCTCCTGGCAAGTTATTGATGCTAACTCAAGCTAGGCAAAGTTTGGATGCCCCCGTCCAAACTGCTTTGCCTCTGCAAAAACCATCACGTTCTCGGAGCTCACTAATACTTTAAAATATTCCTATTGATCAGTTCCTTAGAGGAGAAAACCTGTTGGCAGATTTAATAACCTTTAGCTGATGTGTATTTCGGGCTCCTTGGAGTTTGTTTTTTCAAAATCAGTATCTATGTCTCCAATACAAACCCCCGCCCATGTGTCAGTATATAATGCAATAACTTTCACTCTATGCATCCAAAGAAGTGATGTTTTTACCCACGAAAGCTTATGCCCAAATAAATCTGTTAGTCTTTAGGGTTCCACCGGACTCCTCGCCCTCTCCTTGTTGGTTTTGTACATTTGTCCGGCAAGGACTAGGCCTTCATCTATAGTTAGAGAGCACATTTTGAGTGCTACCGTAATCATAATAACAATAGTAATATAATACAATTCCCATTGTGTGTAATGAATAGGCTCCAGTTTACAGTAGGTGTAACACTGCCCTCTAGAGGAGGGAATATATACCAGGCTTGCTCAAATGTTTACCTGCTTTCTGCTGGTTAAGCTTGTGGAACTGATTATTTTACTTGCTGGGTAGAAGTTGTTTTTGGAAGCTGAAAGTCACTGTTTCCCCAGCATGACACAGGCTGACTGTATCCATGGTGTCTGTAACAGGTTCTCATGGATTGTGATAAACTGGAACCCATTCAAAAGCACTGAAAACACTGCTGGAGGAGTGCTCTCAGGTCCATTAGCTCCTGTGAGCAACAGGATTCCCCACCACAGAGCCTGCGCTGTCTCAGGAGTTGTGTGTTATCCGTGATATGTCTTATGATGCATTTAAACACAGAATATATCATTTGGGGATGGTGAAAAGGCATCTGCACCCCTGGGAAACAGGCTGATTTACATCCCGCATTAACAGAGACCAGCACCTGAAGCCAGCTTCCTGCATGTAGATTGTCTTGATGCTTGTCTATATGCAGGGTTGCACTGGTTTAATGTAAGGTGTGATTTTTTTAAACCAATTTAAATGTAAACCAGTGCAAGAACAGGTTTAAACTAAACTTAAATAAGAATATCCAATTAAAGTCTAGCATCGGTTTAGTTCAGGGGTCGGCAACCTTTCAGAAGTGCTGTGCCGAGTCTTCATTTATTCACTCTAATGTAAGGTTTCGCGTGCCAGTCATACATTTCAACGTTTTTAGAAGGTCTCTTTCTATAAGTCTATAGTATAGAACTAAACTATTGTTGTATGTAAAGTAAATAAGGTTTTTAAAATGTTTAAGAAGCTTCATTTAAAATTAAATTAAAATGCAGAGCCCCTTGGACCGGTGGCCAGGACCCGGGCAGTGTGAGTGCCACTGAAAATCAGCTCACGTGCCGCCTTTGGCACACATGCCATAGGTTGCCTACCCCTGGTTTAGTTAAACAGGTGCTTGTTTGTGAGCAGACTAGACGTTATTCCACAAGGACTCACCTTTTCCTTAGATTTTTTGCACACTTTACACAAGGATAAAACTTGCTCAATAAATCCATGAACTGAGCCATCTCGTGTTGCTGGGTGTTGCTGGGATGCTCCGGGTAATATGCTGCCATGGTGTGAAGGAAAGCCCATGTGTTTCGCCCCAGTTCTTCTGTATTGAGTGGACAATTTGAATGTTGCGCTTTCTTCTTAACCTGGGGCCAGGAAAACCAAAGGAATTGCAAGCGCATTAAGACGGTGATAGAACAGCCCTTTCCACTCAGCTTGCATTTAAATCCGCTTGGTCAGTCTAGCACAGGGGTTCTCAAACTGGGGGTCGTGACCCCTCAAGGGGTCGCAAGGTTATTACTGGGGGGTCGTGAGCTGTCAGTCTCTACCCCCATACCCTGCTTCACTTCCAGCATTTATAATAGTGTGAAATATAAACAATGTTTTTAATTTTTATGGGGTTGGTGGGTCATACTCAGAGGCTTGCTGTGTGAAAGGGGTCAACACTACAAAAGTTTGAGAACCCCTGCGCTAGCACCATATTTAAGGGAACAAACAAGGACATTTAAACTCCAAAACAATATGGATTTATGAGAGAGCCACAGGCCTGGTCTATACCTAAAACTTAGGTCAACCTCGCTACATCGCTCAGGGCTGTGGGGAAAAAATCACACACCTCGTGTGACATAATTAGGTTGACCTCACCCCTGCTGTAGGTGCAGCTAGGGTGATGGAAGAATGTTGCCATCGACCAAGCTATTGCCTCTCCAGGGGGTAGACTCCCTACCTTGATGGGAAAACCCCTTCCGTCAGTGTACGAAGCATCTGCACTACAGCGCTACAGAGGGACAGCTGCTGCATTGGGCCTGTGCTGCTGTAGTGTAGACATGTCCTAACATTCCAACGCTCTTAATGGGGACTCTGAAGACAAAGAAAAATACTTCCGGTACCTAGACGCCTCATTAAAATGCATTGGCTAGATGAGTTTGTTTGGAGGGTTAGAACTGGGAACACAATAATTTTTCTTCCCAGAAGAGAGGAGGAAATGTTGACCAGGAGTGACTGTGGAGCCTGCAAACTGTACGTACAAGGATGGTTAACGATCACAGGGTTTGTAGCTCAGCCTTAGCTGGGTCATCTATAAAGCTAAGAGCCCCTGCAAGGATCTGCAAATAAAGTGAAATTAATCTGGCAGTTTTTGAGGACAAATGTGAAATGTCCCAGGAATGGAGGAGGAAAGTGAAGGGAATGGGGGTGGGAAGTAAAGAAAAAGGTGAGTGGCCATTTGGTGGGGAGGGGTTTGGGGGTCATACACACTCTCAGAAGGATTTGCATCGGTCATCCGCCATTCTTGAGGTTAGCGGGGTGTGACTTCTAGATATGCAATTGCTATATAGGTAGTTCATGTTTCCCACATTAGCACTGGCTCTCATGGAAGCGGCCTCTTTTGAATATTACAGAGACGGAACATCTATAGAAGCATGGCATTCTCTCTCTGGATATGGAACGCCTACCTTCTTCCCACGTGGGGCCCAGCCTCCAATTCCCGTCCTCCATTGCCACCCACCCATAATCCCCACCAGCCACTCCTTTGGGCTAATCCCTGCCCCCCTTATCAACCTTTCCCCCGGCATCCCCATTATCCCTTCCTTGGGAGGCTGACCTCCCCCACCCATTCCTGTCGGGGAAATGATCCCCCTTCCATCAATTACTCCTTGGGGACCATTTCTGATCCCCCTTCAACCATCCCTATGCGGTGACAAGAAAACTCCCCGACCCCTTACTCCGTCCTGCCCCGTCCAATTGCCCT